CCTCGGCTTATATTCGGGTCGGCCTATACTCGAGTATATACGGTATGCTAGTTAAATGAGGCAAACAACAAGTAAGTATGATGAGGCCTTCTTTTAGAAATGTGCAGAATACTATTGGGAAATGCCACTGATCTTATTAACTGTTTCTATAACCCTGAAATGTGTTTGATGTTTTCACTAAGCATGGACTATCATATTTCATTCATTCCAACTAGAATACAACATGTAACACTATCTTCTTAACACTGTATTCGTCAGGTTTCATTAAAGATTTGTAGAAGTGAGTTCTCCTATATATCTATCACATACAAATAATAGACTAATTGTTCTCAAAAAATTAAATAAGATGGAACTGAAATGTATTTTCCCCAGGTTATTTTTGCTACTTACGAATGTTGTCTGTGCTCTCTCTCACAATATCAGTCTTAAGGAGGTTATCTGCAAGCACAAAGGCACTTTCTTCTACAGTGTCCAGTAACATGGTGGCTGCCCGCAGCTGATCACGTGCAGGAAGGTCCCTCCATGCATTGAGAGCTTGTGGCTGCAGAAGGTTATTAACTGTTTCAACCATGGCCTGTGAAAGAGAGAAAAAATAGATTTTTGGCAAACCCCTTCCATTCCTTTAAAGGAACATAACAAGCAATGATCAGATTTTCCAGTGTAACAGACTACTGTTCTCAAATGTTAGTGAAGATTTAAAAATGAGCAGTTACATGGGAACAAAAATAACACCTTTCAAATTAATCAGGAGGTATTTAATAAATAAAGAGAAATTATCTTATTTATGATTGTGAACCAAAAAGAGTAGAAATTAATACATGTTAAATTGCCCATCTTAAAATCTTTACAATATAAACAGAGACACTTATATATGAGCTTGCTTACAGTATATGTCAGCCTCAATGGACCTCCGCTTTTAGTTTCAAGTGTAATCCTCATCCTTTATAAATCAAAGCCAACATTTAAGATGGGACCAGTCTTTAATTAGCTGTGTGCTTTTATAGTTTAATTCTTAATCCTCGAATCAAAATATACTTTGTGTATGTTCAACTAAAACAGGTAAGAATAATAACTGATGTAGTTCAACAGCATCTACTTGCAAATAACCTCTTTCTACCTAAGCAGAAAAGAAACTGCCCAAACAGCAGAAGAACAAAAGATCAGCTTCTAATTGACAAGATAATTTTGGAAAACTGCAAGAGAAGCAAGACCAACTAGAATGTAGCTTGGCATGATTATGGCAAAGATATTCAACTCCTGTCACATGACTGAATAATCAAGTGCCTAAAAATAAAAGGAATCGGGAGAAACATTAGAAGCTTTTTGCAAAAATCAATTGCACAATGGAAGACATAGTTGCTGATCAAGGGTGATAGATC